GTGGGTACTAAATGAATTAAAAAAGAAAAATAACTTTCAGGATTTACGGACTGCCCAAAATGAAAACAGAGAAACTGTATCCAAAAATAAAATGGAGAACAGTGGAGGAAGATAACCCTCTGGCTTCTACATATGCATACATGAGTGAGCACATCTACATGTATTTCATCTGGGTGCGTACTCACACACACACACATACACACATAACTCATCTGGGTGAGTATTCACACATGCATACATACACACACATACACACACATACATGTGTATCTCATCTGGGTGACTACTCGCACACGCACACACACATGTAACTCATGTATCTCATCTGGGTGAGTACTCACACACACATACACACACATACATGTGTATCTCATCTGGGTGAATACTCGCACGTGCACACACACACGTATCTCATCTGGGTGAGTACTCACTCTCACACACACATACACACACAAGAATCACTCTCTCACGTGCTATTGGAACTTACTTCTTGAGGCTAGCTGGTGAATGTGGACCCTGGGAGGACAGGTTGTTTGGTCTGTCCTCACTAATTGAGTTTAAGATCAGGGTCTGACACACACTAGGCCTCCAGGAAAAGCAAGTGAACCTGTTAGTCACATCTTCGATTGTCCTGTCTCCAGCCCAGTCTCAGTCCCTTGGAACTGCTACTGGCTTATTTTCCCAGGACGCTGGAACCTACCCCAGGGAGCAAGACTTGTCGGGTGACTGCCCGCCTCGGGGGCCCTGAGAGGGTACTGGCTGTTTGACCTTGCATCCCTGCCAGTTGCCGGCACGGGTGAAACGATTAATTCCAGCTTATAGTTATTGTTGATGTTGAGGGCTGTGATAAGCGGGTGAAGGGACAGCAAACGAGGAGAAGGAGCAGACAAGTGAACACACAGAGTGGGGACAAAATGCACTCACAGCTTTCCCGAGGTCCCTGCTCTCTCGTTTTTCCTAGCCCTGCTTAGAGCAGCAGCCAGCAGCCAGCCAGGGCTGTGTGCCACGTACCATGAGCATGAGCCACGTGGCAGAAACAGGCCTGTTGAATCATGGAACGCTCGGCTTCTGCTGCCTGGTGGAGCTTGGTGTGTGGAGTATTTTTGCTTTTTACAGTCCAGCTGTCTGTAATGATTTCCTTCCCGTGGCCTTGCTCACCAAAGTGTCCCTGAGTGACTAGCTGAGTCACTGCATTCCTTGCCGTTTAGGACACTGGCCCAAGCACCGAGGACCAGTTCTTTCATGGAGGTGGAACCTTTGTGGGTCGCTGAAGAGTTCCCAGGGAAGACAGAACAAAGAACTCCCATCTTGCATTTGCACCCTTCCTCGGAATTATAATTTAGAAAGCAAACAAAAATAAGCAAGAAATTCCGTTTGTTAAAACACCAGGAAATGGCCACAGCCTGAAGAATTGTTTGTCAGTGACCCTACGGCCAGTACCAAAATCAAAATGGGTGGGGCCTACTAAAAACAACATCCATCCCTTAGTTGCAGTATGAAAGTCTGAAACCCAGCTATAGAGAACTCTCCAGACACCCGGTGGGACTGTCAAAGTGTTATCCCCTCTGTAATATAGGAGTCAGTTCTTGGTAAAAATCAAATATGCACCCCCCTCCCCCAAGAAAAAGAAAAAAAAGCCAGACAGTGGTGGCACACGTTTTTAATTCCAGCACTTGGGAAACAGAGAAAGGTGACTCTCTGTGAGTTCGAGGCCAACCTGGTCTACGAGTGAATTCCAGGAAATCTTGTCTAGAAAAATAAAAACAAACAAACAAAAAAATCAAACACGCACATGCTCCCAGTGTAGCACTTTCACTTCTGGGGTGGTCTCTGAGAAAGTTTGCTCAGCTCTGTAAAAATAAAAGGAGATTTTCTGTTATAGTGTTGGCGACGGGGGGGGGGGGGTTGGAGTAGAAGGAGCTCTTGTGATTGAGCAAACAAAGAATTGTACGTGGACGTTGTTGCTTTGTCAACTTGGCACAGCTTGTATTACCTGCAGTGGGACGGTGCCGCCTACTATAGGTAGCACCGTTCCCTAGGCAGGGGGCCCCAAACTGTGGGGAAATCTAACCAAGCACAAGCAAGCAAATGAGCATGAATGTGTTGATTTCTTTTTGCCTATGGTTGCATGTAATATGACTGTTTGACTAGCTGCCTTGACTTCCCCACGGTGGGCTGTAACCTGAAATTATAAGCGGGAAAAGAAAAACCTGCTTTCTCCCCTCGGATCTTTTTGTCAGGATATTTTTATCACAGCAACAGGAATGAAACTAAAACATGGACCTTGAAATCCTGCACGGTAGTAAAAACAAACAACCCCCACCCCCAAGCCCCCATAGATTCGCTGTACCCATAGCAGCATGTGTGGGGCTTACAGTTAAAGTGGGGAAGAAAGTAAAAGAGATTTGAAAATAACGTTCCGGTTTCATTAAGGCATAATTGATGTACAGTAAACCATACACATTTAAAGTGTTCAGTCTGAGCTTTCACATGGGTATGCACAATATTGATTAGGATAATGAATGTATTCATTGTGTCTCAAAATGGTCAGCATACACACACACACACATCTTGTGAGCTTTCTCCCCTAGCCCCTGAATATCTGAGATTGCATGTAAACACCCCCATGCTTGCCACACACTGGTAAGTATATTCTCTGTGCCATGTTTCCCAAAGCAGTTGGTATTTGCATATTTTCTTCCAGATCCATACCATTTCTGTCTCTTCTGAAATATGCAGTTTCTTGGCATCTGGGAGAATGTCTTTCTATGCATGCCCAGAGCACCTGGGCCAGGAAAGGTGCTTGGAAAAGTTGGTTGAATAAATGAAAATAAATTGGAGCACAACCTCGTGTATATACTCATTCATTCAAGAAATAGTTCTTGGGTTCCTGAACATATCCGCCCATGTTCCAGATGTTGAAAATAAACAAAACAGCATTCCTGCCCCGAGAGATGAATATTGGGGTTATAAGGGCCAGGAAGAAAAGTAAAGCAGAACAAAGGGAGGTGACAGGGTGATGGAAATTTGGGCTTGACACCCGTGGAAGGAAATACCTTTTGGGTAGAAATTTGAAGTGAGAACACGTCTTTCTGGTGCCCAGGAGAAGACAGACTAAGTGCAAAGATCCTTCCTGTTGCAGGAGCAGGAAGGAGGCTAGTGTGGCTGGCCGAGAAAGGAGGAAGGAGACGTACTTGTTAGAAGAAAGAGCAGATTGCACAGGATCTAGGAACCCCTGGAATAAAGCTTTTGATTTTTACTGTGCCCAATATAGGAATGATTTAGGCTTTAGCAGGATCCCCGCGGTTGTTGTGTTGAGCACAGGCTGGAATGAAGGGGAGCCTAAGGGAAAAGCTCCTGTAGTATCCCCAGTACAGACTTCTGAAGGGAGGGCCAGCAGGCTTGCTACTGACTGAGATGGCCATGATTGGAAGAAAGGTGAAAGGTGGCTGCGACAGTTTGCCTGGGTCATTACAAATGCCAGACTCGACGTGAACCGTGATGATTGTGCGCTGACCATATGCAATATGTCAAGGAGCAAGTTTTAGTGTTTGACTCTGGACACGTTAAATTTGATACATTGCATACGTTTACTAACTGTAATAAACTCAGACCTCCCCCCCCCCCTTTGAGGCAGGGTCTTACTATGCAGCCCAGGCTGACCCCAAACTTGCAATCCTCCTGCTTCAGCCTCTTTGAGTGAGATTACAGCTGTGGACCATCACACACAGCTATAAATTCAGCCTTGTTTTAAACACTTAACATCAAGACGCGGTGCAGAAAGTTTTATATAAACTACCATTTAATCCTTTCACTCACCCTATCCTTCCTAATATTTCACTGCCTTTCGTGGATGACAGATTGTGGCCAATTGATGTTAGACATAAGCAGGTTTGGGATTGGGACCCAGTCTTCAGAGCTGTTTGTTAATCTGGGTTCGAAGGGTGAGAGCCACTTACGGAACAAATTTGCCACAGGTGGGGTTCTGTTATAAAAAGAAGCCCGAAACGTGAAACAGGATTTTATCCCAGACCAACGGCAGCTGCGAAAGATGAACGTGATGGAAGCAGGTGTTTGAAAGCTCCAGTATCCTAAGATAATACTAGGGAAGCGGCGACCATAAGTTCGTTTTGGCTACTATTTCTCTGAGTAAACAAGACACTACAACCTGCAGCGAAACCTTTGTGGTGTCAAAAAATAAAAATCTCCCTAATGTTGGTGGTTTGGAATAACTGCAGTGAGGAGGTGGGGCGCACGGGTTTGGGATCCTTGCCCAGACTGCCCTCTAGAAGGACCAGGCTATGGAGCACAAAGGCCGGGAACCGATAGGGCCTCAGCATCCGCCTCCGTATCCGCCTCCTCTACCCACTTCATCCTCCACACTGAGAACGCGGGCGGGTGGCTGGCCGGCGCATGCGCTCTGGGTAAGGCCCGCTCCCTGCGACGTCAGGGGGCTAGCGCCCGTCCCCCAAAGCCCCGCCCCCTAGAGCCTGAGGCGACCTGGGCGGGGGGTGGGGAGGGAGGAGGAAAGGGGGAGCGAGCCACGCCCCCAGCCGAATCGAGAGGGGCCGAGCGGAGCCGAACGCCTCCGAGCACGACCGAGCTCAGCCGAGCGGTCGGGAGTCGGTTGGTGCAGCTCGTCCCCGCCACAGAAGCAGTCCGTGGCTCTGGCGTCGCCGCCGCCGCCGCCACCGTCGCCGCCGCCGCCGCCGCCGCGGGGCCTGCGCCGGCCGGCTGCCCACCCGCCAGGGAGGGAGGGAGGCCCGCAGCGCGGGGAGAGCGGCCGGGCCGCCGGTGCCGCCGTCGCCAGGTGAGCGCCCGCCGAGGCCCGTCGTCCCCGTAGCTGTCAGTCCCCCGTGTCTGTACGTCTCCCCGCCTGTCAGCCCCTGTGTGTTTGCGAACCCCTTCCCGCCAGGCCCGGCTCCCGCCCCGGCCCTGTCAGCCGGCCGCCAGCAACCCCCGCTCCGAGCGGCCCCGCCCCTTCCCCCTGACGCCCCGCCCTCCCCATCTGTCAGCGCCGCGCTCGCAGTGGGTTCGGCGTCCGGGAGTCCCGGGTCAAGGTGGTCGCGCGGCGCAGAGTTGCCGAGCGAGCGGGAGCGGGCGGTGGAGGCCTGGCCGTGGGCGCGCGTCTCCGCACTCTGGCGGGTCGCCGCGGACGGCTGGCACCCGTGCCACTGGGGAAGACAGCGTCGGGACTCGAACCACCCAGGGGTACGGTAGAATCCTCCTGGCCCACGCGGAAACACCAGGGTTCCGGGATGCCCTGATGGGCGTGTGAGCAGAGTTTGGGACGTGTTAAGCCTTGCCGGTTGGGGGGGGGGGGTTCTCATTCGGAGAAACCTGTTGGAAGTGACTGAGGAGTGGGTGGAATGCGGGGCTTAGGTGGAAAGTGTCTGAGAGCTTGAGTCATTTTGAGTTGCATTTATGAACAGTGATTGCCTGTAGGAAACTGTTAAGTGATTCGGGTAGGGTAGGGGATTATTGAAGAGAAGGCATGTTCCTTTCTGCCTTTAGCGGTGTCTTGCCAACACATATATTTATATCTAGATAGCCTAAAATGTTTATGCATGAGGTGGCCACACATTTTTTAATTAAAAAGGAATACGGCTCTTTCCAATTATATACGTGTTCTCATATATTGCTATCTTGATTTTTTTGTTTGTTTTTGGTAACTTAGTATTGCAGTATTTCAAAACTAACAGAATTGTGTTCTAAAACAATTGGTAGCTTGCCGGATAATTCTCAACTGAGGAGAAAAGAGCCAAAAGCACACTTCATTAGTTGGAACAACTGATTCGGGCTTAATTTGCTTCTAAGAGACATACAGTGGAAAAATCCAGAAACAGAAAAGGAGTATCAAAGAGACTTAGGAAATGAGCGAAAAGGGCCTTTGTACGTGTGCCTTGGAGAGATGGTACCAAAGTTGCTTTAGGGCATAGGGCTGCCATGTAATGATAAACATATTAACCAAGTTGAGTTTGTGACCTTGCTACATCGGGGCCATTCTTGATGTGTGTAGTGATTCGTGACAGGCAAACGTTGCATGGGAAGTGTAATTTTTTTTGAAAAAAAAAAAAAAGTTCCCAGTGTTGGCCCCCCCCCCCCCCCCCGCACTTGAAGTAAGATTTCAGACTAGCTTCATCCATGACTGGGGGTGCGGTGTGTGTGTCTGTGTGTGCACTTGCTTGTGTGAAGCCATTTCTCGTTTTTTTTTTTTCTGTCTCTGATTTATGTTTGAGGCAGAAAACTTGAATAACAAAGGCAGACTGGAAAAAGCCTCACGATCACAGAAACTCTAGTAAACCTGTTTGGCATTTACCCTTTTCAGTCTTTTGTTCCCAATTATATGTGTTTTCTTCTCTCTCTCTCTCTCCCCCCCCCCCAACTCTCTCAATAAAAGTGCTACGAGCCTATATGATTTTTATTGTGTACTCTTCCTTCCATCTGTAGATAGATGATGAAGGCTATGTCTTGCTTTCATGAGGAACCATTTGCCCGTTTTGGTTCCTTTAGGAAGAGATCTGGGCCATGGGAGTTCTCTGCTTGCACCCCTCCAGGAACGTTTCTGAAAGTCAGATCACTCCCTGTGGCCTGCTGGGCTACCTGTTTCCAACCCGGCCAAATCGATCTCTGCTGTTTTTTTGTTTTTTGTTTTTTGTTTTTTTTTTTTTTTTTTACAAACTTCAGTCTTACTCCAGCCTTGGTGCCTCTGTGCACACAGCTGGCCTGGATATTATAAAGTTAAGGTGGGTTTCCTTAGCTTTAGGTCTTTAGGTTTTCCCCAGCAACTCTTCAGAATTCCTGTCACGCCCTATCTTCCATTCTGTGCTGTATTTACCACCACTTGTATTTATTTGTTGACTTATTGTCTGTTTTCTTTGCTATCTCACAAGCAAGCATGAGACCTTTGTTTAACTGAAATACCTTCAGGGTTTTAAACAGTCCTGGCACACTATAGGCACTTAATATTTGCCCAGTGAATAAGTTGAAGAATACTAGTTGTCCATCTATTTATATGGCATTGCTGGTAGCCTTCTAGATAGCTATATCATGAGGTGTGTAGTGATATTTTGTTTATGATCTAACAAATAAAACTTGCCTGAAGATCAGAACGCAGAGCTAGTCACACTAGTTAGCCATAGAGGCCAGACGGTGGTGGCACACACCTTTAGTCCCAGCACTCAGGAGACAGAGGCAGGCAGATCTCTGCCTCTGTTTAAATTCAAGGACACCCTGGAAATTGATCCAATCTAAAAGAGAAACAGAGCTCACACAAAGGTAATCCCAACACTTGGGATCATATGCCTTTAATCCTAGCACTAGGGAGGTGGAGATAGGAATGATATGACTGGGTGGAGAGAGGAATATAAGGCAGGAGAAGACAGAAGCTCAGAACAGTCCGAGCAAGCAGTCTGAGGCACCTGTCAGAAACAATCAGTCTGAGGAGCAGTATGAGGACAGGATCGCCCCTGTCTCAGCATTGGTAGTGGGTAAGGACTCTCTAGTGGCTGGCTGCTCTGCTTCTCTGACCCTTCAGCTTTCACCCCCTGATAGTTGACTCAGAGTTTTTTTTTAAGATTTACATATTTATTATGTATACAGTGTTCTGCCTGCATATATCCCTGCAGGCCAAAAGAGAGCACCAGATCTCATTATGAATGGTTGTGATGTACCATATGGTTGCGGGGAATTGAACTCAGGACCTCTGGAGGAGCAGCCAGTGCTCTTACCCTCTGAGCCATCTCTCCAGCCACCGAGTTTTTATTATTAAGAACAATTAGAATTTGTGCTACTAGATGGAATAACAAATTCTTAAACTTTGCAACTTTCCTCTCCTTAACATATCTTAGAAACTTTTGTGAGGTGAGTCGTGGGATCTTAAAAAGAATGAGTCTTAGGGACTGGAGAGACGGCTCAGCCGTTGAAAGCACTGGCTGCTCTTCTAGAGGACCAGGGTTCTATTTCTAGTGCCCACATAGGCAACTGTCTGCAACTCTAGCCAGTGCCCTCCACTGGCATCTGTGGGCACCAGGAACACAAGTGATATACAGATATACTGAAAGACAAAACATTCATATACTTAAAATAAAATTAATACAATTAGGAAAAAGAGCTGGAGAGTTGACTCCGCAGGTGAGCGCACTTGTTGCTCTTGCAGAAAATTGAGGTTTGAGTCCCAGCACCAACAAGGCGGCTTAGAACTGTCTGTAACTCTAGCCCCAGGGGAACTGACAGTTTTTTGACCTCCATGGGTACCAGGAACACATACATGCAGGCAAAACATTCATACACACAAAATAATAAAATCAATAAATATAAAAAAAGAAAACCTTGATTTAACTTGAATAGTTGAGAGAAGAAACAGTTTTTGCAAATGTTGCTGACTTTCCTTATGCATTATCCTTTGTGTCACACTGGGAATTTTTGAGAAGCCTAAAGTGTCCCAGTTTGGTTGTTCTTAGCAATAGTATAAGCCTCAAGAGCATAGTGAGCTTTTTGTGTCCTCAGATACCAAAGGTGTAATTACAGCCTCCATGTGTTTTCACTTGGGGAGTAGCTGTTTTATTTACTCACTTTCTTGGCAGTTCTGTTCTTTTCATCTCTCTCCCTATCATTTTTAGATGGCTTTGTAGGTGCTTACTTGTTTTTTTAAAGTCATTTTATAATCAATCCTTGACCTTTGAGCATTTTCCATCTGCCGGGTAACCTTTGAACTATTTGAACGTGCAAGCTTCATCTTTTGGGGGAAAATAGCATCTGTAGAAAAATGTGTCATTGTGCTTTCTTTAATTTTGAAGAGTGTCTACTCTTGGGTATAAAATTTTGAAAGGTTTGAACTCCAGATAGGCTAATATTATTTGACTGTTTGGGAAAAAAGATTTGCTGTTTTCTCAGAATGATGCCTAGAACAATACAGCCCAGAGGCCATAGAAATCCTTTTGTTGCTATGTTCCAGATATGTAAGAACTCAGTGGTGGTGTAGTGTATATGTCCTAAGTGGAAATTTTATTCAGTTGAGGGCCTGTAGGAAATATGTTAAACTTTATTCTTATTTTTTCAATGGACATTTGTTACGAATGTATTTTGGGAAAGGTCTGTTTGCTTTTGTAGAGATTGCTTAATCCTGTTCAACTTCAGATTGCCCTCTCTTCCTCTGAGACAGGGTCTTGCTATATAGTTGAGGCTGCACTTGAACTCAATGTATAGCTCAGGATGTCCTTGATCTTGTAATCCCCCTGCTTCAGCTTCTTGTGTTTTAGGAGTAAAAACATGTAACCACCACACCTGAATTTTGTTCTTTTCTCATCATATTCATACCCCAGATAATCTCACCCAAGTCTTTAGTATGCCCTAAAAAGAGACAAGTCCATCTTTAAGCCTCCCACTCTTTCTGGCTTGAGGCTTGCTTATCTATCAGACTTTCCTATTATCTTTGCTTGCTGCCTCAAACTTCACATGTCCACAACTTGCCTGATCTCTCCACTCCTCTCTAATGCTAATGATATAACTTGGGACCTAGAATTTGTTAAGCAAGCACCAAAACCCCCAAATTGGTCTCTGTCTTCCTCTCAAACTTCCACATTTATGGTCTTCATTCTTGACCCATCCCTCTTGCCCATCCCAGAATATTTCAAATCCTTCTAGTTCCTAATCTGGTATTCTCTTCTCCCAGCTGGATGACTGTCAGTGCCTCTCAGCTGGTCTTCTAGCTTCACTCAAGCCTACTTCTACAGCAGCCAGAGGAAAAGGCAAGGGCACACCACCTCTTTGTTGAGTGGCTACCCACTGTACGTAGAGTCACAGCTGTGCTTACTTTGAGGGGCCAGCCAGCCCCCAATGTCCTCTCTAGTCCCTGCACATGGCTCATGTTTGTCAGGCTGAACACCTTCAGTTCCTTGTATATTTCAAGTTTTCCTTCTTGTTTGTACATATCCTTCTCTCTGCCTGGTGCTCTTTCCGGAAAGATCCTTCCTTCTCAAGCATCTAGCCTCTGTTAAGATTTACCTTCTTTAGAATAGCAGTTGCTGATGGCCCCTTGTATAGTAGCTTCCTTCTCATTGTCCCATCTCAGTACATAGACATTTCCTGATAGGCACTTCACTAAAATCCCAAAAATTCATTTATGTTTGTTTCTTTCTTTACTGTCCCTTTCCCAATAGATTGCAAGATGTATGTGGATCAGGACATTTTGCCTTGGTTATGGCATGGTT